TTTTTGAAATAAAAAATCAAGACATCTCAAGAAAGCTAGGTGTACGTTTGAATTGATACTGTAGTACCCCTCGCTACGCCCTCTCCTCCCCGTACCTTGGCCACGTTGATGAACTTCTCGATGACCTCGGCGCGCTCCTGCGGCGTGGTGCGGCTCAGCACCATGCACTGCACCCACTGCGTGAGGCCGTTGAAGAGCGACACGGAGCGCTCGAGGCGGGACGCGTCCTGGAGCCGGCCGCTGCACGCGTAGCGCTTCAGGTCGTGGAACTGGAGGCGGAGGAAACAGCCGTGAGAAAGGTTAGGTCGGGTCGGGACACCGCGGAGAACCTGCAGTGCGCCGCTCCGCCGGCACTGTGGGTTTCGTACACAAATTTGCACGTCAATTTTAGAGGATTGACTTTTCTTTATTTTCCCCACGAAGCTCCATTTTACATTTCGTTATTGATTGGGAGGAAATGAAAATAGATATACCTCCGTGCGTGGTACCATTATTCGTTGTAGGGTAAAATCATCACAGCGTCCGAAAACATCCAAATGCCGTCCTTGAACTTATTCAAAGGGTCGATAAAATCCACCCAATTTCATAAATAAAAAGATGACGCGAGATGACGTAACTTGTGTACGGCCCCATCCTGTCGAGGCCCTTTTGGCTCGAGGATAGAGAAAGGCCAACGGCCGCAGCCCCCCACCCCACCGCCCGAGCACTCACCGTGATCCGTCGGATAACTTTATGCTCCAGGAATGTGATGTGCTCTGCCAGCTGTTGCGGCTCCATGTGGTTGAAGACCAGAGACACCCTCTCATTATGTTGAGTGGTGGGTTGCGGTTGCGGCTGGGGTTGCGGCTGCGGTTGCTGCTGCTGCCCCGGACCCGGGCGAACGGACGGATTGCGCATCCAGTCGAAGCTCGGCAGCACCGAGGTGTCCACGAGGCTGCCCCACTCCTGGGGGAGCTGGTTGCGAAAGTCCTGCACCACCAGAACCAGCCCAGGCTCCACCTCGAAGTGCAGGGGGAAGTTGATCATCCAGTACCTGAAGATTCAATTACAAGATCAAATACAACTGAAACAGTACGACGAAAAATAGAAATTTAAAACCGATTCTAAACTGCCCTTTTACAGTTTAACGTCAATAGACAACGAGACAACGGTAATTATTTTCATGTTTACGGTAGACTGGTCCTCACCTGAACACGTGGCACACCTGCAGGCGGGTGCTGGCCACGGGGCAGGTGGCCGTGTCGGCGTGCCGGTGGGCGCAGGCCGGGCCGGCGGGCGCCTCGGGGTGCTGCGCCTCGCGGTACACGTCGGCGAGCAGCGAGGCGAGGTGCGCGGCCGACGTCCACCAGCGGTGCATCAGCAGCGCGACGCGCGGCAGCGAGGACGCGGGCGCCACCACCGCGCCGTCCAGCTCGAAGCACTGCACGAGCAGGCGGACGAGCGCGGGCAGGGTGGCGCCCCGGATGGGCACGCCGGGGATGGGCTGGCGCTCGTCCTCGAGCAGCAGCTCGGGCGCCTCCAGGGGACTCCACTGCGGGGGCCCCAGGCCCGAGTCCGAGTCTCCTGCGAGAGCGACAGTATCAGCGACACCCTGGTGAGCACACCTCCCGGGGACCCGTGGCGCACGCGCGCGCAGCGGGCGGCCTACCCTCAGGTCCACAGGCGCTCCGCTGGGCCGCTCCAGCTCCAGCCACACTACTTACCGTGGTCGCTGCAGGGCTGGCTCGGCGACTGCCGCGGCGACTGCCTGGGGGACTGCCGGGAGAGCGACCCCGGGAGGGGCGGCGTGGACGTGGACACGAGGCCGCCGACGCCGAGGCCGCCGACGGCCGGTGCCGCCCCCGGCGCTGCTGCCCCCAGGCCCGCCCCAAGGCCCGCTCCCGGGCCCATTGCCGGCCGGTCGGAAGGGCTAGGGCTTCCATCGCCTGAGAGGTTGCCCTCCTGTGAACATTCAAAGAAAGGGGTTACAAAGTTGGACGCTCAAGTAGCATACCTTCTGCTAGAGAAGATGACTGCGATGGTTTGGTCTGGGCTATGATTGGGACGGGGCGGGCATTGTACCCTTTCCCCTTCTGACCCTTCTCCACTCGCCCTCCTCCAACCCCTACATCTCCCCTCCCCGACCACCCTACCCGGTCGTTGACCGGCAGGCTACGGCGGCGTCTTGCCGAGCCCGGCCCGTCGAGACCAGACCAGGCCGCTGGGTTCAGTGCCGATTAAACTCGATCGTTCGGGTTGAGGACAGGAGCGGCTGGAGTGAGAGAAAGGGTGAGGCAGAGGTACGAACAGAGCAGTCCGCTCAGAAAGGTGTTCTGTAGTGCAAAGACACCTTTAAGGTTGTATCGATTAAAAACTACTCTTGTTGTCACAGCACAAAATGACTTGGTATAAGTTACATTTCTATATGTAGGCACTCTTCAGTACTGATGGTCCGTTCTCACTGTCCTCGATCTTTCGGAGTTAGAGAAGCTTAACAATTTAAAAACGTACTCTGTATTTGTATATTTTATGGTTGCAACGAGTGCAGTTACAAAAGCCTAAGCCTGAGAATCCTCAATTTTGAGCCACTTCGGTTTGAGTAGGCATGGACTGATATGCTTAGCTTGTCTCTTCTAATTTAGTAATTAGACCTCACAGCACAGAGGCATTTTGGGCCGGCACCACCTTGGCCGGCACGCGGCACGCGCATCTGTCATGACGTACGCTCTCCAGAATTAATCCCTGGACTGGCTAACTTTTCGCTTATACTTTGAGACAAGGGGCAAGAAGTCAATGTTCCTTTGGGCTTGTAATAGGGTGGCAAATACTTTGTTCATAGTAGTGTCATGGCTCGGGTCCTTCCAGGAAAAGGAGAACGGAAAGAGACAAGCTATATGCCCCACATCCCTTCTGTACCCTGTACACACCAGTACTTCAGCTTCACCTCTTTTTCTCCGGCCCACCCCCACCAACCTCCACTGCGGTGTTGAGGCATCAATAGGCTCACGGCAAGTTGCGGTACAAACATACAAATTCTTATCTCCACCCGGTCCCTCTCCATTTGCTCAGCCCGCGGGCCGCGCGCGCCACACTCACTCGGCCTCGACTCTCTCTCCTCATTTTCTCTGGTCTTTCCCATTACCTCGGCGTCTTTCTTCCTCAACGCAGTTAGGGGCCCCACCCCCTTTTCTTTCATTCCCGCGCTCACCCCCCACCCCT